AGTATGTATGGACATTCGACAACAGGGATTAGATACATGCTTGGTTGTTTAAATTGTTCTTCTATGCTTAATGGGTTCCTAATGCTTAATTTTAGGTTAGACAACAAATGATCAAATTAGGGAATTAGGAACACAAGGTTAGGACCAAACACCATGGCCTAATCATACTTTAGCTAGAATCAATCTTTGAATTTGAATTAGACTTGTTACTTGACTCCATATAACCCAGAATTGAATTGTTATGGTGATTCGAATGCCCTAGTCTCCAAATCTGTTTTCCAACTCTTAAAACCACTCTTTGTTACACTTGTTTATTTGCTTTCATTTGCAATTTCAGTTTGCTCACTTCCTTTCACAATCACAATCACTCTCACTTTAATTTCTGTTTTAGACTTAACTTCCTAACTTCTTGAATTCGGTAATCTACGTACATAACTAATTTGAACTTCTCAGTCTTCGTGGGTACGACCTCGTACTTGTCTTGCTATACTACTAATTGCCCCGTACAATTGCGAGTTAACATAATAATTAACAACATCTAGAAAGAAAAGTATTCATTAAATCATATAAACATGTTAGTTCATAGTTCTATTGACTAATTTCCAATAAGCTTTAACATAAATTAGACCAAAAAAATATCTTTAACATAAAACAAATACATATTAAATGCAACCGAAAAACACATATTATGAAAATGAAAATATGTTCAACAACAGAATTGAAAGTGTATTTATTTTATTTTTATTGCTACCCTGCAACTAAATTCATAAAGAATTTGACTTTTTTTTTAAAACTTTAAGGAGTTCTTAGATCTAGGTTCAAAACGATTAGCTGTCTTTGGGTCTAGTCCTCGTGTTTTTGGTTTTAGATGTAGGTCCTTTGACATTTATTACTTTTTTGTTGTGTCGATTTTACCCTTTAAGGTAAATAAGGAAAATACATTGAAAATCTAAATTTAATGCATTATTTCCTTGAAATTGAATTCCAAATTTTGAATTTTGAATTTTTTTTCCTTGATAATATTCCTAATATATAGATAAAATACAATTTAATCAATAAAAAGTAAAGACTCACATATTATACCAATTTATCAGACAAGCACCCACATTAAATTATGTACTTGACATACAGGTAAATAATGTTAATACATACAGGTATATATGTACCTGCCTTACAGGTAAGTGTTTTTTTCTTGAGTTTTCTTAATCAGTTTTTTCTGGAGGTTCATATTTATATACATACGTACATGTCTTCCATGGATTTTTATCTCAGTTGAGTTTGAAGATCCATACCAAGATATTATATGAGTTCAATTAGCTGGGCTAGAGGGTATAACTACCTAGATTAGAGGTAATTTATGGATTTAATTACCTGGACCAGAGGTAATTTATGGATTTAATTACATGCATACTGCATACGAGATGTATGCATAGGTACCTTACCTATTGTTAAGGTATGAAGTTTTTATGAACTCTTATTACAAATTGTGATGTCGGTATACCTTGGGAAAATTTCAGAATTCAATAAATAGATTTGCAATTAAATTCAAATCAAATATGATAATTAATATCCTACAAATCAATAACTTACCAGTTTTAGGAATTCATAATTTACCTTATTTATGTTTTAGGTGCATAACTGGAACAAAAAATAAAAAATAAAAAAAAGTAAATATCAATAAATTGAAATAGGCATGTAATCTTATGTGGCGCAAAAGTCAAAGGACTTGGATCAACAACAATTTCTGCGTGGATTGCACCCAAAGTCTCTCCTCATAATTGGACTTATAAGTTATATCAAATTTTCTAAAACTTTAATAAGTTATTACATAATGAGCTATATTTAATATGGTTGTAGCCCAGAGGGTAGTTCCACCCATGTAGATAATGTTATCGGTTTTTTTCTGTTGGGCAGACGCTATTGATTTCTTTTGGGTTGGATTTTCTGTTTTTTTTTTTTTTTCATTTATATTTATTATTATCTTTATATGATATATTTATTTGATGCTATGGGTTTTGTTTTCGATTTTATCTTGTGAGATGGTTTCTTTCTCCTGGGCTCAATAGTTGGGGATTATTATTATTACTCATAATAATAATACGTGGCGTATTTTAAGTGAAAGTATCACCAGATGACGTGGTGATACGGTACTATTCTATAATTTCTCACAATTCGATAACAATGTCAGATTTTGCTATTGGCCTTTTCTTATTTTATCTGTCGTTCCAGGTTTCTTATGAAAAATTTGGCTATTTTCAATCCCTGCCAAAAAGTTGGGATTCTTCATGTTTTCTAGTTGAAAACACTCTGCATCAGATGCATACAGACACTCCTCTTGCATTGAAGGTCTAATCCATTCCTTTGTTTGGTACATATAACTTGACATTACTGGACTCAAGTCCAAGTCAATCCAAACCAACCCAATTCAATACTTCAAGTTCAATTCTAATCAAGCCAGTCCGGCTCACCAAACGTCTGTGTTTTGCGCATGGGTTCCAACAAGGTTTTTTCATGCACAGACTTATCTATCTGCTATACAGTAAAATTTGTTGTATAAATACATATTCCACAAATATTTCTCAAATTTAGGACGTCAAGAGAAGTACACAATATCAAGTAATGACTAGTGTAGCAAGAACATTGTTTTACATTATTTAAAGTTTATTTTTAATTTCCTACTAGTAATGGAGTAGATCACTTCGATTATAAGAAGAGATCAACCAGTGGCTGCATATACTGGTTACCTTACAATAGATTTTATTCATAAATTATTTGCATATCCCACCAATTCGTTTACACGCGTTCCTTCAAATATGCTCCAAAAGACTTCGGACCCCTCCCCACTAATTATTTGCCTCTATTCATGAAGTCTCAATTGAGGCTGCAGAAAACAATAATAATCATAATGTTAATTTGTCTACACACACATTATAAAATTAGCCAGAGCTATATGATATCATATCAGGCAGTATCGATCACTACAAGACGACAACATTATATAGTCATTGACATTCGTGACACACAATGAAGTGGCTGCACATACTATTGGTGTCTAATAACTAACAGATACGATTATCCGTATCCATTGTGCTATTAGGCACTAGTAGTGTATTTAGCCGCCTCATCATCTGCTACGAATGTCAGTGATTATAATTTTTTTTTTTTTTTTTTGAGTTGATGCCAAGGGCTGAAGTTGTGTTGAGAGAGAGAGAGAGAGAGAGAGAGAGAGAGAGTATTACCGGGTGCAATCCATGCTATTAGAAATAGGGAAACTAAGATGAGCATTGCATTTTATGGGAAGATCTTGGATGAGAGAGGCTACAAAAGAAATGCGATATACAGAAGCCATGTCCTCAATGCATTGACATATATTCCCAGGTGCTAACTCATCACCTTGGGCCACCAAGTTCAATGTCCTCACCGCCTCACAACACTCAAGTAACGGATAATGAGGATATAAGCGGCCCGTAAGGAACCTCAGGCAACTGCTGAATTCATGCCAGGCATAAGAACAGAACTGGGATGCTTGTTGAGCATTGGCTGATCCACAAACTAAGAGAAAGATGCTCACATAAGCAAAAAGGTGAGCCATCGATCACTAATTAATTTGGATTGAATATGATCGATGCTTTTGTTTTTTAATGTCTTAGAACTAATTATAGATTTATAAGCACACAAAGCTTATTCTTTTTGGTAATCCAAGAGACAGGTCATCTGTTAGTTTGTTGAGCGCTACCTAGACAAATCAACATCATGCTTCATGAATGACTTTGATAATATAATATAATTATATATGAGAAACAAAACAAAAGGATAAAGGAAAAACAAACATTAATCTGAAACTAGAATCCATAAAAATAATCGTAGAAAACACTAAAAGTTCTAGAATATTTCTAAAATTAACTAATAAGAAAACAATTCAATCTTAATGTAAATAAATATAAATAAACCTTTAGTAGAAAAATAATATCCCAAAAATTTATTTTTTTGTCAAAATCCTAAAAACTATTTATTCCATAATTGAAAAACCATTATCATCTTGAAATATGCTCAAGACCTGAAAATACAAATGATAGGCCTTGCTTCTTTTCCTTGGGCCATAAGTATGATTTTCCATCTTCGAACCCATATTTCCTCATTTTGAATCGTTTTCTAAATTTCTCCACAAGATTTAACCCCATCTTGTCCTATATCAAAATTTCCTTTCAACGCCAATGAAGATTTGGTTGAGTTGGTGAGGATCGTTCTCTTCACTATCAAGGCCTAGGTTCAAGTCTCGTTGCCAACAATTCCTTTTAGTTGGTAATTTGTAAAAATCGAAAAAAGGGCTAAGACCCCCTATATAAGTCTTCAAAGAGGCCTTGGTATGTCATGGTCCTGGGATGGGGTACCCTCCCCTCCCCTAAACTTTTTTCATAAAAATAAAAAAATAATAATAATTTTCTTTCAACAAAAATGGACCCAAAAAAAACAGCAATTCTTCATCCACCCCAAAAAAAAAAAGGGGACGGGGTACTTCAATTAGAGAAAGTAGATACTTTAAGTGGTTTGTTAGCAAACTTGTACCATTTTCGTCACTTGTCATCGTGCCAAACTAAAATGGCTTGAAAACTGCCACATTTTCTGCAAGCGTGTATTTTGTGTTGTTACTAGCCCAGTCTTCTTGTAGTGCTTTCATTTCTTAATTGGTATAAACAAATTTTTTTGTGAGATTGTTATAAACATTCGGATTGCTTGGCCACTTTACAAACTTCGCTAAAAATTTATTTATTTTTTGTTGTTTTGAATGTTAGAACGTGATATCCGATGTCGACGGATGAAATCTTGCTCATTTCACGTTGAGGTATTGCAGAGGGAAAAACTGCAAAATTCATCTAATTTATCAACTTAAGAGTTCACGATCTTTACTCATTGTCAATTGATTTTGAATTGACCCGACATACTCCCACACTACTCAATAAAAATTGTCCACACGAAGGATTTCTTTCGCATAAATTCATTCCGCACAGAAGTATCTGTTTATTACGCACAGGATTCCTTATGAATCAATGGAATCCTGCCATTAAATGCTTTCCTTTCTTCACTAGGAATTATATAGCCCTCCCTCCCTTGAAATGATGAAATTCAACAAGATACGGCCTTTACCTATTGCCCCAATCCTCTCCTGTAACCCTGCAGAAAACAACTTAGATTAATTGCTGATTAATTAACTGTTTATGCATAGGGAGAAATTAATGAAATTATTGATACAGCATTTACTCATCTGTTCATAATATTCGACCAAAAAAACATATTATGTTCATAATATTGCTAATCACATCTCTCGTAATTCAATTAGAAGAAATACATGACACACTTACACAAGTAAATTCCACACTTTTGCAAGAGAGATGTCGTCATTGTCGCAAATGCAATCAATAAATGTAGTACATGATGAGAAAAGGAGTAATTTATGCTATTAGAGATGGGGAAACTAAGGTGGACTTTGCATTTTGCCGGAAGATATTGGATGCGGGAGGTGTTGAAGGAACATTGGTCCCGTAAGAAAAGTTCTATATGTATTCGCATAACATCCGTGGACCGGCTTCGGCATGTCTGGCAATCGAATTCAAATTCTCGACGGAGGGACAGCATTGATCCAACGGTTCAGAAGACAATCCCCCAACAGAAGGTCATGCAAGGGCTGAACTGTAAAACACACAGTACAAGGACGTCTGAGCCTTGGCTATTATTATGTAGTACTGCACAAAGCAAGACAACACTCACCACTAGACCAGCCTGAGCCATATCAAAGATCACTAAAATCTAAATGGGATTTTTGAAGGATGAGGCTAGCTCTAAGCTACATATATATTAGTGGAGCTGGTAGAAAAAAGAGTCACTGTACCATAATTTATTTACTTCAGCAATTCCAGCAACATAAATTGGTTAGTTTGTTAAGTAAATATTAAATTACCATGCTTCAAACATGACTGAAAAGTTATGTTGGTAAGAAATTTCTCAACACCATAGAGTCTGCTGATATAAACAAATAGTATAAGATTATCCAAGGAATATTGAAACATTTCATATGCTTCACAAACAAAAAAGAGCCTGAATCAAACATAAAATTGTTACATATGACATCAAACACTATCTGGAAGGCCACAAGAAAACAACTTGAAAATGAAAAAAATGGCGGTGGAAGTGTCACTCACCCAACTGATGACGAAGTGAAACTATGTGACGAGATTTATTTTGGTCTACCAGTGCAGAGGCAACTATGCCATAACTCTATCATCCTTGTCATATCCAGTAGGCAAAGCAGAACAATCACTCTACAAGTAAAAGAAGGATGAAACAACGTCAGGCACATAAAGATATATTCTTTTCACAAAATGGGGATGAATAGAGATGCTGAGAAATGCTTCAATTTCCCAGAAGAACCGTCAAGAAACAGAGACGTATCAAGATTATAGCACCAACTAATAACATATAAAGAGAACTTTTTTCAAAAGAAAAGGACATGTTGTTCTCACATTTGAACTTCTTCCTTATTTGATTTTCAATGTCACTGATGATAATCAAAGAAAAATCTGAATGGCACCAATGGACAATTTCACCAAGGGTTTGATGACAAAAAATTTATCTGTGCATAATGAGCCAAAAAATTTCTCCTGTAGGTCTTAAATGATAAATTAATACTCACTCTTGCAAGGTATCTGAGAAATAAAATATTTCACATCCTTAGCAAACCTAAAAGAGTCCAAGTAATAGTTATATAAATCATCAACTATCTACAAGGCACAAGAAAACCTATCAAAAAATTAGAATAATGTGGTAGCCAAAGTCTCACTCCCAAAATAATAAGGCAATAATGAAAATGGTAATAATAGCAAAGAAAAGAAGCATTATAAGGAGCAATCCTAAACTTAACGAAAAAAGGACAATTAATGGTGATTATACATGGAGGCCTCTCAAAAAAGCATCTTTATTGCTTGTCATCTTTGATCACAAAATCATCAAATTTCCTACGGAGCTTTTCACAGGGAACACACATGACTATTGTTTTCTTTGGCAATGGAGGGGGCACACCACCACTTTCTCAGCTTCTTCTCTGCTCAGACTTTGAGATAAGCTCTCTTCCATGAGTAAATACAAAGACAATTAGAAAATCAGAACACAAACTCAAGATGAGCTCTATTGGAGAAGATGACTATCGGAAAATTAGACCCCAAAGAGTCGCAGCAATAGCTAACCCCAGTTAAGACATTTGTCTAGCTCTTCAAAACATTCTGGCTCATTTCCATCAACTATCAAACACCAATCATACAAAACACAGAAACTATACAAACTCATACTGTCCAGACTAGTGTATGTATAATGTACTATATGGCCAAATGTACATGTGATGCAGGATGTGTAGGACCTAAAATTATTAGTTTCCTAATGTATTTGTTTGTTTCCTAGATTCTCTAGTTTTCCAATTACTAGTAGGATTTCTTCTTTTCCAGATTTCCATATTTCTAGTTTTAAGTTTCCTATTTTATTTGGGTTAGGATTTCCGTTTTAAGCATGGGATTTTTATCCTATTATTTCTAGGTTTTAGTTTGCTATAAATAACCCCATGTAGTTCTTTAAAATGCAGATTTGAATGTTGAGTAAACCTATTCCTAGAACTCTTTGATTTCGTCCTTTCAATCTATATTTCTTCTCCTCGATCTCCAATATTCTTCTTTGTTCTACTGTTTCTGCCCTTTATCTCGTCTTTTCGATCTATATTTCTTCTCCTTGGTCTCTTATATTCTTCTATGTGCTATTGTTTAAGTGCTTAATCTAACACCTACGGGCTGTACTACATCAACATGTATTCATACACATACTAGAACATGCAAACTTCTAAATCAAAGTAAATTCGTATGGTGGTCTTTCAAGAAGTAAATTGCACATATCAAAATCCAAAAGAGTAACTAAAAAGGCATGCTATGCATATGCTGAACACAAAAGTTCAGCAATTCCCTATGCTAATTAACTGAAACTAACCCAGTGAGATGCGCTTCTCGCAGTTCACACATTTTCTCAAACACCTTGCCTGCATTATTATTCCTTATTGCCTCATGACACAGACTCTCCCACCCATAACTCTCTTTTAGCTAAGTATTATTTCACAGTCAACAATATGATTCAATAACCAATCAGATGCATCCAGTTTTGACAAAGAAGGAAATACCTGAGATGAGATTCAATCTTTATGGTGCTTTGTAGCAATGCACAGACATTTGGGGGGAGAGAGAGAGAGAGAGAGAGAGAGAGACAGGTTTCGATTGAATTTGGCTTCCTCGTACTATACAAACTACCATGACGGAGGGCTTGAGAAATTCAACCGTTCTCGACGTCCTACAAACAAGTAAGTAGTTGGGGTTCGCAAACTCGGACCTTAAACCCCCAGGGAGTCAGAGTGAGAGAAATACTGGGAATTTGAAACAATTGCACAAGAATATAAATTCGTTGAACATGATAAAATAATTTTATTTTAAAAAAATTCGGGGTTAATTAGGCAAATTTGAAGATGAAAATAAAACCATCTTTCAGAATAATAGGATGAACTAATGGGTTTTGTTTGGCTCACAAAACAATAAAGTGAGCATTGTCAAATTATACATACAAACAGATTAATCAACTACATTTCAGATGCCTGCGACAGTGTTTCAACACATTTACAAAGAAAAAACAAAAAATGAAACAAATAGTGTTTTAACATGTAAGTTTGTAGGATCAGTGCCAAAATGTTACAAGTCCACAAAAGCAGATCTGGACATTTATAGAGAAAATAAACTGACATCGGAAACCATTCTTCATGCATAAAAGATCAATTGCCTCCCACCTGCCTCTTCCACGAGTCTTCCACAATCAACTCATCTACTCCCCAATCTTCATAACTGAAAATTTACACACCCAATTAAAATGTTTCAAAAATACATACATTACACTACAAGTTACAAAGAGTTTTGTCAGTGTGCACTTGTGCGAAAGCACAAAAACAATATTTCAACTGAAGTCAAACCAAAGTCAGAACCGCACCTTCCATCAGGCAGATAGCGGTGTATGGTGAAGGGTACCTCCCTCTCACGAAGCTCCTTCATAGCAATACGAAATTCAAAATGAAAGAGATCATACAAGTGCAGCATATAAGGGAACAGTATTTATTTTATCATTATTGTGTACTAACAATTGGAGCTCTCACAAGAACTCAGATTCAATACCATAATTTCCTTTTAACTTAAAATTACTGATATTTTTTACTTTATTCTAAGAAAAATAATTCTCAACTTGATAATAGGAACGATGAAATTCTATTATTATAAAGAGAGAAGGGCGACGAGCTTCTCCCAGTAAGGCAAAAGAAAGCCAAAAGAAGAAAGAGAAAAAAGAAAAACAGAACAATTTAGAGTGTACTCGTACTTTCTTTCGATTTTAAAAGCGTCTTTGTGTTATCAGTTGGATGCTACATGTTAAGCTCATAATTTCATACATATACATGCCCTATTTACTTACTTCTTTTGCTTAGTTTCTTAGATTTCTAAGTTATTTGCCTCCCTTTGTGTGTTTTGTAGGCAAATAGAGCAAGAGAGCATAATTCATGCAATTTAAGCATGTTAAGGCCTAATTTGGATGAATGGATGAAGAGCTTAAAAGACAAACTCATTTTGGCTACAGCCCCCTGCCAGTCCAGTTCCGTAGGTCATATTGCAAGCTTTGTTTCAGCAACCTACACAGCTCGGCTGAGGCAGAATTCTTCATGAAAGTTGTTCCAATGGGTGTGTTCTATAACATATCCAAAATTCGGCCCCATTGGATAAATATGGAGTCTGTTACCTAGCAAACACAGAGCCATGCTCAGGATGGATTTTATCAGCGCGCAAAATGAGTTAGCAATTTGTTTTGGCCTTAACTTCCGCCTCCGACCTTGGATTGGCC